AGCACAGATGGGCTGTGCTGGCTCCCAAACAACCTTCCCACAGGTGAGGAGAGCAGAGCAGAGACAATGACTGTGGGAGAGAGAAGGTCCCACTTCCCAGAATCTCCTTTCCTGGACACAGGGCTGCCAGGAGCAGCCGTTCCCAGGAGACCCTCTGCAATGGGAACCTCCTCCCTGCTACACTTGAGGCATCCCTGTGTCCCCCGGGGAATGGGGCAGCCCGGCAGGCCACAGGACCTGCAGCCCTGGCAGTGTCCCCGTGCCAGTGACAGCCAGCACATCTGCAAGCACGGCTCCAGCACAAAGGGCCCACGTGCCAGCCCTGCCCCTGCAGCATTGCTTCCAGCAGGAGGAAGCAGCAAATGCTTTCCCAGGAGCCTGGATGATTTGCCTGCCCCATTTTGCATGCCTGAGGCTGCCTGGGGGGACACACAGCCACAGCTCCCCACCCCAAGGCAGGGCAGGATCATCATCCCAGTTCAGAGCACCCAAAAGCCTCTCCTGGTCTGGGCAAAAAAGGTGGGCATGTGGGAAAGATCAGGACAAAGCACCGCAGCCATGGGAAACTGCTTTATTTTTTCCTTTGCATTTTCTGCCATTCCTGGAAATGCGTAGTCACCCCGATCTGCCTTGTGGGAAGCAGCCCCCTTGTCCCACTCAGCCCCTGCCCTCTCCACCGTGCCAGGATGTTCCACTCCCAGAGGGCTCCCTGGACCCACAAGCTGAAGTCCCATGCACCAAGATCGAGCAGCTCCATCCCAGCCCCACACACCAGCTCCAGGCTGATTTATAGAAACCCAACGCCTGGGGCTGACTGTGCCTCCTGCCAAACCTCATTAACGGCTGGCCCGGGAGAAGGCAAACAGCTCATGCAGCAACAAGGAAATCCTTGTTTAAGCATTTCTGGCCATGCAAGGCCCTTCACCCCATACCCAGGGGAGAAGGAGGAAGACGAGGAGGTGAGGAGGAGGTGCAGGCTACAAGCCCCAAACTGGCACCACCCTGGCATTCAGGAGAACCAAGAAGGAGACACAAAGGGACATATCAGGGTCTGCACAGGGATGGAGCCCCCAGGGTGGGATGTGAGCTGGGGGCAAGCAAGAAGCTACATGGGCATGATGGGGGCAGAGGGGGCTGTGTGCTGCAGAACCCTGCCTGCCCCTCAGTGTCCCCTGCTCCCACCAACACCAGGCTCCCCACACAAGTGCTGGCCATGGGTGCAGTGAGCTCTGGGCATCTGGGCTGCGTGGGAGGCCGTGGGAGCCAGAACCAGTGTGCCAGTCCATATTGGGCACGGGACACCAGCACCACTGGCCTGAGGACCTGGCACGGCGTGCTCCAGAGCAGCATCAATGACCTGCATCTGCCTGCCCCACGTGTGGCTCAGGATCTATTTCATCATCTGGAGAAAAGCATTTACTGCCAATAAACGGGCTAATTAATTCTCCTCAAAGACCTCTCAATTATTCATCTCGGGCCACAGAGAAAACAATTAGAGCACTTACCTCAGCCCTGGCTCATCCAGTGTAGCAGCTGGTGGCAGGCAGGGCACGGTGGGGACGGCGGGCACGGCTCTCGCACGAGCCCCGGTGCCTCACCATGCCCGGCTTTGCCCGCCCGGCCAGGGCGTCCTGTGGAGCGCTGGAGAGGGGATGTGGAGCGGCCACAGTCACCAGCCTTTAGCCGTGACCGGCTCCAGCGCTCCTCCAGGGTGCCCCGGAGCTGCCCCAGCAACAGGGCTCTGGCAGGGACCCCCGGCTGCTCCCTCCCCAGCCCCCCGGGGTACCCCGTGCTGAGGGGCTTTCTCCCCGACGGTTCTCGGGCTCCTTGTCCCTTGGGATGTTCCATCTGTTCCGCACAACAGCCCCTGTTCAGGCGCACCCTGAGAAGGGAAACCCTCGGCACGGGGGGCACGATGGGCTGGGGGGGCCGTTCCCGGCACGGCCGGAGCCCCCCGAGGGCAGCGGCCGCCACGGCCCCGGGGCCCGGCCAGTCCCGGTGCCCGCCCTCGGGCCGGGAAGGGTTAAGGGCGGCCGGCGCCCCCCCGGCGCGGAGGCCGGGCCTGTCGGGAAGCCGGGATCTCTGCGGCGGTTTTACTGGAAAAGTCACTGCCGGCGAGGGGGGGCACCCGCGGCCTGCAGGCTGGGGACGGTGCACCGGCCGGGACCACGCGGGCGCCGGGCTCCGGCGGCGGCCCGCGCGGGGCTCCGAGCGAGCGCGGCCCGGCAGCCCCGTGACTGTCCGCCGGGGTCTGCCCCGGCCCGCAGCTCGGGACATGTCAGCGGCAGCCCGGGAGTGCGGCGGGGTCCCGGTCCCGGGTGCCCACCCCGACCCGGCTGAGCCTGGAGCCGGCGCTCCCGGTGCTCCCGGCCATCGCCCTGCCGTTCCCGGCAGCAGGAAACTGCTCGGCTCCGTGGCTCAGGTCCCTCGAGGGGGACGGACGGCAGCTGCCTCAGCCCAGGTGGGACCGGGGCCCTCCGGAACGGGCAGGGCCAGTGCCACCCCGTTGGGACGTGGAGCCCAAGGGGCAGACAGGGTGAGCAGCACAGGCAGTGTGGCCACAGGGCTAAGGCAACCGGACAGGAAAGCACCCCGAGCTCATGGTGAGCATGATATGGGCACTGCCAGGTCCTGAGGGCACTCAGCACAAGACCCCCGGGGCCACTGGCAGCTCCATGGTCCAGCCATGCTCTGCCTGGGAGGCTGGGAGCAGAGCCCACTGCCAGCCTGTCCCAGGGCAACCATGTGTGTGTGCCAGGGGCAAAGGGCTCTGCCCCAGCCCGCTGATGCCCCAGAGATACAGCACCGTGCTCCCCATCCCACAGCCCCTCCTGCAGCCAGGATGTGCCACGGCTCAGCCCTGGGGACGTGCAGACCCAGCGGCGGGGCCTGGCAGGCCGGGGATGGGGCTGCCAGTGGGGCTGGTAGCAGGGGGGCCCAGCTCCGGGAATCGGCCCCAGTGGTTGCCAGGCCTGTGGTAGGGAGGGGGAAACCCGATCCTCCGCGGTGGGATCTGGGCTCCACTCCCGGCTCCCCAGCCAGGCCTCAGCTGCTAATTTTAGCCCTGGGGAGGCACGACTGGAGCAGGAGCTGAGCCCAGCGGGGCAGGGGCTTAGCCCACCACAGGAGCTGGTGTGGGCAGGTGGTGACTGCAGTCCTGTGGTGCACTGTGGTCCTGGGTGAGCCCCCCGCTAGTCCCCAGCTGCCAGCCAAGCCCCTGGCCAGACGCTGGCACTGCCCACCCTCTGCCCAGCTCCTGTGGTGTCCATTCAGCCACTCCACATAAGGCCACAAGTGCTTCCATGGTCCCAGAGCTGGCCCCGCCGTGGCCCTGCTGGGTCACCTGCAAGGGTAGCTCTGTGGGTGCTGGTAGCAAGGGGGGATCCCCAAGGCAGGTCCCAGACTGAAGTCCCAGGGAAGGGCACATGGCTGAAGGACAAGGGAAGACACCCAGCCACACTGCACAGTCCTGCAGAAGCTGTAGCTGCTGCCCAGTGCAGGAGCCCCTGCTTGGCTGCAGACCCTGACTGGGCTGGGGGGGCTGCCCTCAGCAGAGCCCTGAGGTGCCCTTCAGCTTTGGGCACACCAGGGCAATCAACCAGCCCACCAGATGCCAAGGAGTGGCTGGGTGAGTGGCTGGGAAGCCCATGCCGAGGGGTGCTGCAGCCATCCAGCCCTTCCAGGCAGAGAAAGTGGCTCCAAAGGCTGCCCTGCCCTACAGCAGCCGCCCCAGGTGGGGGGGGGCTCCCTGGCCTGGGGCCCCACAGCTGCTGCTCCCCCAGCCCTTCACCTGCGGCGTGACCGGCTGCACTGCCCAGCGCTTACTGGAAGAGGAAGCTGCCGGGAAGGCGGTGTGTGCGGCGGGGCAGCTTTGGGGAGGCTCAGCTGGGCTCAGCAGCCGGCACAGCTCAGCTGTCCATGCTCCCAGGTCCAGGGCCAGTAACGGGAAGCGTCTGCTCTCAGTGACGGTAAATCAGATCGGGGAGATTAGAGGCCTTTTTGCCTAATCATGAGCAGCTTGAAGTTGGAGGACAAGTTCCTGGAACAAAGAGGAAATGGAGGCAGTAAATAAAGAAAAACTGTTAACATGTGGCCCTGCGTGTGAAAAACGTCTCATGAAGAACTGTTTATGGCTCACTCATCTGCGGGGCTGACAGTGCGGGGGGCGACAGGCTGAGGGAGGGAGGGGGCTCCATGGGCAGGGGCACAGGCAGGGGGATGGGCAGAGCAGGCACCTGTGGGGCGGCTGCAGGGGGCTCAGGATAGGGGAGCTGGGGCGGCCAAGGCTGGGGGCACATGGCAGAGGGAGGGAGGGAGGGAGGGAGGGAGGGAGAAGGCAGCAGCATGGCACAGGTGGCTGGAGCACACCACGTCCACAGGTGGGCAGGGGCTGAGGGGAAGAGGCATCTCAATGCACCTGCCCTATTATGCCCTGCAAACGCCAGGAGAGGCGCTGGGTGCTGCAGAGTGGTGCCCCCCGTGCTGGCAGCAGGGAGCATGGTCCGGCTGGTCCAGCCCAGCGCGGGGAGGTGAGGGGGTCTCGCCACTGCTTTGGACACTCGCCCTCCTGCTGAGGGGCAGTGGGGATTTCTGCGAGAGTCTGCTGGGTCCCCTCAGAGCAGGTAGAGTGCCGAGGTCAGTGAAGCTGCGCAGAGATCCCGCTGCAGTGCCAGCCCACCTGCGGTGCCATGTGTGCTGCCAGGGCACACGCAGCCAGGGCCGGAGCCAGCTCCCAGCGCCAGACCAGTCCGTGCCAGCCTCGCTGGCAGCGGGGCGGGAGCAACTCCTGCTCAGCCACGGAGAGACTCTGGAGGGTCCCCCTGGCGCTCCCTCCCGTGGGACACCCAGGATGGGACAGTGCAGGGCCGGGGCAGCCCCCACTCGTGTGTGGTGTGGGATGGAGGGACGTGAGCTCGTAGGACCGCTCCGAATGCCCCCGCCGGAGCCGCTGCTCCGTTCCCACCCCGTATTCCCGGGAAGGGCGATCCCGATCCCGCCCCCGCCCGGGAGCCCTTGCGGGGGGCGGTCCCGGCCATGCGGACGGTGCTGCGGCGGCGGTGGCTGCCCGGGCCCGGGGGGGTGCCCGCGGTGAGGCAGCCGCGGGGTCCCGCCGCGGCCCCGCCGCTTGTCGTGGACCTGCGGAGCGACACGGTGACCCGGCCGTGCGCGGCGATGCGCCGTGCCATGGCCCGCGCCGCCGTGGGCGACGACGACTACGGGGAGGACCCGGCGGTGAACGGTGGGCGGAGGGGACGGGCCTGCCGGGGGGCCCTGCCTGCCGGTCCCCGAGCCGGGGGCAGCGGGATGGAGGCCCGGAGCTGGGGGCAGCCCAGCGCCAGCCCCTCAGGACAGCCGTGTGCCCCGCAGAGCTGCAGCGCCGCGCCGCGGCGACTCTGGGGACGGAATCGGCTCTGTTCGTGCCCACGGCCACCATGGCCAACCTCATCGCCGGTGAGTCCGGGGCTCGCAGCGCCTCGTGCCCCCGGCTGTGGAATGCTGCCCCCGCGCCCTCCCTCACGGCCCTTCTCTCCCAGTGATGTGCCACTGCCAGCGCAGGGGGGCTCAGCTGTTCCTGGGCCGGGACGCCCACCTGCACGTCTACGAGCACGGCGGGGCCGCGCAGGTGAGCGCGGCGGGCAGTCGCGGTGGCGCTGGTGGCAGTGCAGGACGGCCGCGTGCTGCCCTCCTCTGGCTGCCAGGGCCCGGCCAGGCGGAGGATCCGCTGCCAGGGCATTCCTTGGGTCATTGTCCCAAGCCACGGGCTGCAGCACGAGTGCGGGCTGTACACACCCGATGGAGGGGACAAAGGGCTGGAGCCCCCGTGTGCCACCACTGTCCCGTCAGCTCCGTGCTCTCCCCTGCCCTGGGCACAGGTCGCCGGTGTGCACTCCCAGGCCCTGCCAGATCTGCCAAACGGCACATTCGACCTGGAGCAGCTGGAGCTGGCCATCCGTGAGGCCCACGGCAGCCAGTACCACCCGCGTCCTGAGCTCATCTGTCTGGAGAACACGCACAGCTCGGCGGGCGGCCGGGCACTGCCCCTCACCTATCTCAGGCAGGTGAGAGCCCACGGATGGTGCTGGCACAATCCTGCCTGGCATGGGCAGCTGGGCCCTGCACAATGGCACTGTGGGGACACTGGAGCTCAGAGATGGCTCGTGGTGGCACTAGATGGCCCAGGGGTCCCTCCCAAACCACCTGTCCCCCTGTCTCCCAGGTCCGTGGGCTTGCAGACCGTTATGGGCTGCGGGTGCACATGGATGGCGCACGACTGATGAATGCAGCAGTGGCCCAGGGTGTGGAGCCAGCTCAGATTGCCCAGCTCTGTGACTCTCTGTCCCTCTGCTTCTCAAAGGTCTGCTTGTGTGGGGAGGGGTCCGCAGGGCTGGCAGGGGCCAGCTCGAGCCGGAGCCTGGCCGTCCTTTGCAGGTGTTGGGCTAAGAACAGACCTGGCAAGCTGGGAGGGCAGCTGGCCCTGGAACAGCTGGAGTGACCCCGCTGGTGGCTCTGCAGGGCCTGGGCGCCCCGGCTGGCGCGGTGCTGGCGGGGTGCAGGCAGTTTGTCGCCGAGGCCTGGCGCGTGCGGAAGCTGCTGGGCGGGGGCATGCGGCAGGCGGGCGTGCTGGCGGCCGCCGCCCGCCTCGGGCTGCAGCACGCGGAGGCCACGCTGCGCAGGGATCACGACAACGCCCGGCGCTTTGCGGAAGGTACCTCAGGGCCCCGAGCGTGCTGGGATGTAACAGCACACCTGGCACTGCCCAGCAGTACTGGTGGCTTGGGCACCATCCCTGGATGGCTACTCTGGGTCTCCAGACGGGTGAGGACGCTGCTGGGATCCTCACCTGCCAGGATCATGCCATGACCATTCCCGTGCTGTGCTCAGTGACCCTGGTACCACATGGAGGGAGAAAGGGCTCTCCCTTATCCAGAACCTGGGGCAGGGCTGGGGCAGGTGGCCCCTTCCAGGGTGCTGGGCAGTGGGCTTGCACCGCCTCGGCCTCCCGCAGGTATCCACGCGCTGGACTCTCCCCTCTGCTCCGTCGACCTGGCAGCAGTGGAGACCAACATCGTGATGGTGAATATCCAGGGCGCCTGGCCGTCCCCCACCGAGCTCTGCGACCGCCTGCGTGCCGTCAGCGAGGAGGAGGAGGCTGAGACCGGGCAGGCTGTCAGCGTCTTGCTGTTCCCCTGGTCAGCACGCGCTGTGCGCGCCGTCTGGCACCGCAACGTCTCGGCCCACGACACTGAGCTCGCAAGGAGGAAGCTGGAATTTGTGGCCAGGAAGTTCCAGGAGGAATTGGCCTTGGGATTGCATCCGATGCCTCCAGGCACTGGGGGAGCCTGAGCATTCTGCCAGCCCCACAGCTGCAGCGGTCAGGCAGCCCAGAGCAAGGACTGGGACCACCCCTTTGTGCTCCAGATGTGTTCCCAGCCATCTGAAACTTGACATCAGCCCTCACAGGCAGCCTGACAAACCAATGTGAGCCCAGCCTAGTGGAGACCCCAGCCCTTGAGGCAGTCAGTGCACAAAATAAACACCATTTGCTGGTAGTGTAGCTGCGCAGGGTGTTTTCTCTCAAATGTGCTCTTTTCCTTGCTCTGCAGCAGGGACATCATCACAGCCAAGGTCCCTGTGGAGGGACAGTTGCTCCTGAGGACATGGAACCATCTCAGCCACAGGACCAGGGTTGCTGCACAGGAATGCCAGGGTTTGTGTCTGGTCAGGACTGTCCCAGGAGCCTGAGCCCAGCCTGGCCCAGATGGCTCTGTCACTCCCATTCACAGAGGCTTATGTCACTCTGTCCCACAGCAGCAGTGGGCTGCCCAGACTTCCCTGTCATGTTCTGGGTCAGCAAGTCCCAGAACTCTGCACTGGAAAAAGGGATTCTCTCAGCAGCAGTTGCTTCAGGTGTGCACTCAGTGGCTCCCTGGGAAGCACTCCCAGGCAGCAGTAATTCCCATTTTATTCTGTATTGCTAATGTGCAGTTTAAAGGACGCTGAGGGAGCAAACTTCATGATCCAGCTGCCCAGTCAGAGCCTTGCAGCCCTCAGTCCCCTGCACTCCAGTGGGCAGGACCACTCCAGGGAAGGGGTACCAGCCTGGGCTGGGCTGAGCAGAGAGGGCACAGTGTGGGTCTGAGACAGTGGTGGCTCTGTGTTAGGGTGAGGAGGCAGCAGGCAGGGGGATGCCAGATGCCCATTGCCACCACACGGTCCCCATCTGTTTACTCCTGAGGTGCCATCATGCTCTTGAAATCATGTTGAGAATCACCTGGGATGAGGAACCAAACCCTGTGAAAAGCCCCTGACCCTGCACCTCCCCACAGGGAGGTGGCAGCCCACCTGATGCGCCTTGGCACAGCCCTCCTGCCTACCTGAGTGAGGACGTAGCTGTCCTCTGACAGCCTCTCAATGACATCAAAGTGATCCACACCAGCCAGATCCAGCAGAGAGACAGACCAGCCAGCTGCACGCAGGGCCTGCGGAGAGAGGAGTGCTGCAGGATGGACCCCAAGCTCCACCTGCCCTGGACAAGCAGCAGGAATAATGTCCTGGCCAGGACTGGTGTCCTCCAGTGAGCCAGAAACTGCTCTGGCTCAGCACAGCAGCTCTTCCTTCCAGTTGGGTAAGCTGGTGAGGGCTTCCTGGAGCAGTGTCCCCACCAGAGCCGAGCAGGGTGCTGCTGGTGCTCACCTGGCCGTGCTCCTGTGGCTGCTGGAGCTCACCTGGCCGTGCTCCTGTGGCTGCTGGAGCTCACCTGGCTGTACTCCTGGGACTGCTGGAGCTCACCTGGCCATGCTCCTGTGGCTGCTGGTGCTCACCTGGCCATGCTCCTGTGACTGCTGGTGCTCACCTGGCTGTACTCCTGGGACTGCCTGCGGAACTCCGGGGAGTCATGCTGGGCCACAGCCACGAGCACCTGGCAGGCTGCTGGTGCTGCTGGGGTGACATGTCTCATGGGGCTGTTCCTCTGGGCCACCTCCCTGCAGGAGTCACGCCGGTGGCAGCTGACGCAGCCCTTCACTCCAGGAGCACCCGTGCTGTCAGCTGGGCTCCCCAGCTGGGGCAGGCATGGGGGCAGAGTGGCTGCAGGGCCACAGACACCGCCCGCCTGTGCTCTGTCCCCATGGCTGTCCCCACAGCGTGTGAGCTCACCGGCTCATGTTCAGAGCATCATTCACGTAGGTGTGCAGGATGGGCTCCAGGTCATACAGGCCGCTCACCAGCACCGCTCCTGGAGGCAGAGGCACTGCCAGGTGAGGAGCTGCAGCCTGGGTGGCTCCACAGCCCTGGGACCTCATAACCAGTTAGCATAATCAGCCCCACAGCCTTGTCCCAGGTGTGGAGACCAGTTCTTCTCCCGACCCTGTTCTGGGACAGGGCAACACTACCTTTGATATCTGGCACCACTTGGAATTCCGTCCAGTCTGTGGACAGCACCATGGCTGCCAGGTGGGCCCCTGCTGAGTGTCCGCACAAGTAAATGCCCCTGGAAAGAGGGAGTAGTAAGCCACAAGGAGGGAGCGACTGAGAGGGACACTAGGGACACCTAGGCATGCTTTGCTCCGTCCAGAGGAGGTGGCACAGCCTGAATATGTCAGCTCAGATGTTTCCCAATCTGTCAGCCGCTTCCTTGTGTAGTGATGTGGGATTGTGGCCACAGGCACTGCCCAGTGCTTGGAGCGAGGTGCCAAAGCCTTTGTCCTGCTCCAGACCTTGTTTGCCCCCTGTCACAGACCAGCCCCTGACCCGGGAGCTGCCCACCTGATCCTGGGGTACCGCTGCATGAGGAAGACGAGGCTGCGGCGCACCTGCAGCACCATGGTGTCCATGTGGCCTAAGCAGAGGACAAAGGGCAGGGTTGGAGGGCGCTGGGCTACGCAGGCAGCAGCAGCCTCTGCAGGCCAGCACCTACCTTTAGGGGCTATGTCATACCCCACCGCCACCACTGCCACCCCCTGCGACACCAGCGGGGGGGCTGCAAACCCCGAGTCGTCCTTACTGCGGAGAGAGAGATGCAGGCAGGCTGCGGGAGCCGGGGGCTGCCGGGCCAGCTGGAGACTGGCCAGACCCCGTGTCCCCAGAGCAAGCCCCACTGTCAGAAGGGGTCAGCAAGAGTTGGTGAGGGGGTTTCGTCCCGAGGAACCCCTCGCGACAGCCACCTCACCTCATGCACTGCCAGTATCCGCCGTGGATGTAGACCAGAACCGGGAAGGCTGTGCAGCACAGAGCGGGGTGAGCCCGTGTCCGCCCTGCCGCTCCCGTCCCCACCACCCGCTCACTCACTTTCACAAGGGTCCGTGGGAAAGTAGATGTCCAGCTTCTCTCCGTCCCCGTCGCCGTAGGGCACGTGCAGCAAGGTCTGCCCGCTGGCCCGGGCCCGTTCGGTTCCTGCGGGGGGGAGGCGGTGGAGCACGGCACCGCGGCACCGAGCGCAGCCCCGCTCCCAGCGCCGCGATCCCACCTGCCGCCGTCACCGCGAGGTGGGCGTCGATGATGGTGTCCCGGTCCAGGCGGGGGGACCAGCGGCTGGGAGAGTAATGGTCCTCCAGCGCCTGCGGGGGGACAGCGGGGCAGCGCCGGGGCCACGCCGACACCCCCAGCCGGCGGCCCGGGCAGAGCCGCGCCCTGCCCTGCCTCGGGGCCGTACCTCCGCGGACAGATCCCGCCACCCGCCCATCGTGGGGCCGCTCCCGGGGCGCTCCCGGTGCCGCTCGCTCTCCTGATCCCGGTGCCGATCCCGGTGCCTGCCCGCCGAGGGGCGGGGCCTGGGCAGGGGGCGGGCTGGCGCGCTCCCATTGGCCGTCCCGGAGGCGAGGCCCGAGCTTGGGGGCGGGGCCAGACCGTGGAGGAGAGGCCAGAGCCCGAGGGCGGGGCCACCTCCCATTGGCAGCTGGGGGCCGGGGGCGGAGCCAGCTGGCAGAGGAAAATAAAAAGTTTGGCGCCCTTGGTCCCCATTGGGTAGTGCCTCCGCGCGGCGGCGCAGATCCTTTCGCGATTGGCTAGCACTGCTGCGCGTGGGAGAGACTCCTCATCCGATTGGCTGACGGGGCCGAGCCGAATCGGCGCGCGCGGGCTCGGGCCGGCAGTCCGCCATGAACTGCCTGACGGTGCCCGGTGTCCATCCCGGCTCTCCCAGCCGGCCCCGCGGGCAGATACAGGTACGGGGTCGCCCCGGGGCACGGGCGGAGGCGTAGGTACAGGTGCCATCCTGGGGCACCGGTGTGGGAGCAGATGCAGGTACGGCGACGGTGGGATGCATCGCGCTGGGGGCAGATACGCGTACGGTACTGCCCCGGGCACGGGCTGGGGGCAGGTACGGGCACGGTACTGCCCCGGGGCAGGTACTGCCCCGGGCACGGGCCGGGGGCAGGTACGGGCACGGTACTGCCCCGGGGCAGGTACTGCCCCGGGCACGGGCCGGGGGCAGGTACGGGCACGGTACTGCCCCGGGGCAGGTACGGGTGCCGCGCCGGGCTCAGGGGACTGCGGGGGCCCCCGGCTGCTGGAGCCGGGGCTGCCCGCTGTTGTGGCCGCTGTTGTGACCGCCCCGTTCTCCCTCAGGTGATCTTCGGGCCCATGTTCTCCGGGAAGAGGTAGGCGGGAGCGGGAGGCGCCGGGCGGGCGGGCAGCGGGCTGAGGCTGAGGCCCGCTGGCACCATGTCTTGCAGCACGGAACTCATGCGGCGAGTGCGACGGTTCCAGCTCGCCCAGTACCGGTGCCTGCTGGTGAAGTATGCCAAGGACACGCGCTACAGCTCTTCAGGGGTCTCCACACACGACAAGTGAGCTGCCGGGGCAGGAGGACACGCCGCTCCACAGGGCTGCCCGGCCTGCCCGGCTCACTGCCTCCCTGCCCGCAGGAGCACCATGGAGGCCCTGCCCGCCGGGCTCCTGCAGGACGTGTACCAGGAAGCGCTGGGTGCCGCCGTCATCGGCATCGATGAGGGCCAGTTCGTAAGTGCATGGCTGGGGCGGGCTTGCTGGGCTCTGCGGGACACACCAAGGGCTGTGTCCTTTGTAGGAGAGGGCGGGAAGCAATGCCCTGGGGCGGTTTGGCCCATGTGGCTGTGCTTACAAAGCCTCCCTCCCCGTAGTCCCTGCAGACAGGAGGGCGGGACTGCAGCCCGGCACATGGCTGTGATTTTCCTTGTTCCTGGTGCTGCTGTCTGGGCATGCACTGTGGGATCTGGAGCCAAGTGCTGCTCCCCATCCTTCTTTACGATGTGCCTGTACCCTTCCAGTTCCCAGACATTGTGGAGTTCTGCGAGACAATGGCCAACACTGGGAAAACCGTCATTGTTGCTGCTCTGGATGGGACTTTCCAGAGAAAGGTAAAACACTCATTTTGGTACCACAACTGCTTTGGGACCCTCGTGGAACCCACCCAGCAGCATGCTCCTTGCTGACTCACACAGGCCTTTGGGAGCATCCTGAACCTGGTGCCACTGGCAGAGAGCGTGGTGAAGCTGAACGCGGTGTGCATGGAGTGCTTCCGGGAGGCCTCCTACACCAAGAGGCTGGGAGCGGAGCGGGAGGTGAGTGCCTTGGAACAGAAACTGTTTCACTTTCCCAGTCCTGCTGGTACAGAGAGGCTCCCTCCAGGGAGCTGGGCTCTGCAGCCACTCCCCAAATTTCCCTGGCAGGTTGAAGTGATCGGAGGAGCTGACAAGTACCACTCTGTGTGCCGAGCCTGCTACTTCCGCATGCGACCCCAGCAGGCCGGGCCAGAGAACAAGGAGAACGTGCCCCTGGGGCTGAGGCAGCTGGAGACAGCTGTCCCTCGCAAGATCCTCACTTGACTGCTGGGACAACAGAGGGCAAGGGAGCTCAGTGCTGTGGCTCACAGGCACCGGGCCTGCCTCTCTCTACTTTAACAAACTGTTCAGTGCCTCAGCCTTTCCTACCCAACCTCCCCGCACCAAGCGCCACAACTGAGGATCCACCACGCCTGATGCTGGTGGGAGCTGAAGCAAAAGCCTGGCTAGAGTGAGTTCCCATCTCAGAACAAGGAGAGAGACCAGCACAGCTACTGGTGCTGCCACACACAGGCCCTGGGGCACTGCATGTGGAGCCAGGCCGCAGCGCTGCCGCCGCTCGCCGTGGCTCTGGCCAGCTCTCCAGTGCTCTAAGCGTGCTCAGGCTGCCACTGCTGCTTCTGCTGCCTGTCCATGCAGCCCTTCTCTCTTGTGCACTTGCAAAATTCCTGGTTTCTCAAGATAATGTACAGCCATTTGTGTTTTTAATGCAATTTTTAACTTCCTTCCTTAACAGTCTGAGGTAACTTGTCCCTTGTCACAGAGCTGTGGCACAGTTTTAAACTGACACACACGTCAGCCCAGCCCTGGGCAGGCCCCCAGCCTCTCTGCCAGCATGCTCCCGGGTGTCAATTATTGAAACAGAAGGAGGCCTGGCAGCTGACTCTTCTGAGGCGTTGAACCTCAAAGGGCTGCCTGTGTTCTAGCAGGCTGTGGCAGACTCGTTTGGAGGAACTGGTCCCAGGGAGAGCCTCCTCCAAATTCAGGGCAGTTTTTCTCAGGTTCAAGGCTGGTGCTGCCATTTTGGTGCTATGTCACCTGTGAGGGGTTTGGAGGCTCAGAGTTTCATCTACCAAGATTTAGACAATTATTCTAGGGAAGACCCAGCTGCCTGGTAATGGGGCTCTCCTGAGGAGCTGCTTCTCCAGTCTAGTCATGTCTCTTGCTTTCTTCTCAGCCTTCCAAAATTCTCGAGGCTGACTCTTAGTCTGCTCTAAGCTGACTGAAGGATCCTCTTTCCTCTTTGTTAGACTCAGATTCTGGAAAGTTGTTGTTTCCTTATTGCCTGCAAAAGTGTGTTTTTCTCCTGCAAGTGGTTTTTGCCCAGCATCCACAGGTTCCGAGCTCCAGAACAGCTTTGTTCTGGCCAGGCCAGACCTCTGCATCTGAGTCCAGGGTTGCTATTTGCCTGTGCCCTGGAAGGCTCCAAGAGCTACCTGAACACCCCCTGCTGCCCCCATGTTTCAGGTGAGAGTTATTGTATTCACAAGCACTTGACTACCAGGCCTGGGCTTTCCCCCTAGGGCTGGGGAAGGCTCTGCTGCTGCTTTAGGTTAATAAATAATTTAATGAACCTCTGTGTGTATTTTTTACCAGAGCATTCTGCTAAGTCTTCCTGGCAGTGACCAGTGAGACAGCATGGGCTAGTTGCAGGGTGGGAGGGCTGTTCACAGGCCTGGTGTTGGAGCTCTGCTCAGACCAGGCAGCATGAGGAGGGTGACCTAAAAATAGCCACCAGCATGAGTGTGCTGTTTGCAGCACAGCAGTTGGCAGGGCTGCACTCCCCCACCTGACACCCCAAGCCCTGGAGGGGCAGAAGGCAGGAGCCTTTTCTGCTTCCCCCGAACCAAAAGGCACATGGTGGCTCACATAATGGCTTGGTGAAAAAGTTTATTCCAACCCTACAGTGACAACTACTCGAAGGCTGGCCCCAGCAGTGATGGCACACACGGCTGCTGGGAACAGCTTTACCACAGCACAGCAGCAAACACAACCTGAGACAATGGCCCACAGGCTCCTGGTGTGGCAGGAGTGCAGGAGGGAGCTGTGGGCAGAGAGCAGGAGCTCAGCCTCACAGCCGCACTTGGGCAGGCACACAAGGGAAGGAAAGTGCTCCAGGATGTCCTCAGCCACAGCCCTGCTGAGGGATCTCAGTGCTCACTGCTCCCACAGACCCCAAATGGCATCATCCAAGCATCAGCAGCTCTAGTGCAGGCTGGAGGAAGGCACAGCATGGCATTAGAGAAGAGGGGGCTTTGGCAATAGCTGGCCCAGAAGCAGCCGCTGGGGAAGGCAAGGGAAGGCTGTGCAGGCAGGAGCTGGGCCTGGCTGTGCTGCAGCAGCGAGACAGCATGTGGGGAATGCAGCCAGCAGGGCTGAAAGGCACCAGAGACAGGATGCACCAGGGCAACAGTCACAGGGGCAGAGCCTGGCCAGGGTCAGGGGTGTGAGCTGCAGCCCACCACCAAGGCACCACAGCAAAACCAGAGGCTTGTACGTGCCAGGGCTGCCTGCACACCCAACCTGCAGCTGCACTGCTCACCCAGCAGCTGCAAATCATTGTGTGCCAAACCACCTACCAAATCACACAATGGGCTCTGGACCCTCCAGTCAGGATCCAGCTCTGGGACCAGGCAGAAGCCCCTCCTGCACCCCATGAAAAGGCCCAGTCACCTTAAAAAAAGCAGCCAACACCCTCCCACCCCACTGTCCCCTCCAAGTCACAGATCCCTCCCTCCCACCCCGCGGAAGGAATTGCACTGTACAGCCGTCCCGCGGGTGCCAGCCAGGGCTCAGTACACCGGTGGTGGCTGATAGCCCTCCGGGGCCTCCGCTGCCTGCGTGAAGGGCGGCTGCTGGTAGCTCTCATGGCTGATGTTGGGATAGCTGGAATAAGGAGTCGGAATCCCCGGGCTGGGGTCGGCGTAGCTTTGAGCAAAGTCCTCCACCCCCATTTTGTACCTCTTGTAAGCGAAGGTGAGCAGAAGTGCCTGCAGAGAGAAGGGGAGCAGCATCAAGGCCGTTCCAGGCTGTGGAGGCAGGGAGCCCCTATGCACTCCCCCAAGTGGGGCAGAGTGCTTCACTCACCCAGGAGAAGATGGAGAAGAAGCTGAAGGTGATGGCAGCGCGGGCAGAGTCCGCTCCAATGTACACATCCTCAGCCCGTGTCCAGGACCACTGGTTGGTCAGGAAACAGAAGCTGATGAACCACAGGAAGGTCCAGAGACCTGTGGGGGGAAGTGGCATGAGGAACCAGGGCTGGTCCTGCTGCTCCTGGGCAGTCCCGGGCCCAGACCCTGCTCCACTGTGCAGGCTGGTGCAGGCACCGGGCCAGGGCGGCTGCTCCTCGGGGCACACAGCAGCAGCGGTGGCAGCAGCAGCAGGAGCAGAGCGGCAGCAGCAGCAGGGGCGGCAGCAGCAGCAGCAGCGCGTGGCCCGCGGGCAGCACGCCAGACGGGAGCGACTCGGGAGCGGCTCCCTTCGCCAGGCACCGGCAGCCACGTCACGGGACAAGGCGGCCATTGTGGCAGGCACCGCGGGCACAGCCCTGCCCGCGCCCCAGTACCTGAGAAGCCGAGGTCGGCCAGGACCAGGTACTTGCGGTCCGTAGTGTTGCTGATCTGGGGGAAATAGATGTCCACCATGAAGAAGAAGATGCAAGCGAGGAAGGCGAGGACGCCGATGCCGATGCCGTAGCGACAGGCGTCCTCGTTGTGGTTGAAGATGCAGAAGAGCCGGGGGTCCTCAGCCCGGCTCGTGTAGCCATCCCCGACTAGGCAGGCGAACACGATCAGGGCGAAGACCTGCGGGGCGGAGCCGATGTCCGGTGGGCGGCACCGGGGCCGGGGGAGCCCTTCGGGGGCTGCCCGTCCCGGCGGGCGAGGGGCACCGGCCTGCGGTAGGGAGACGCCGTCCCGGGGGGGCTCTCCCGTTCCGTCCCGTCCCGTCCCGTCCCGTCCCGACTCACCGCGCTGACGATCCGCGCCACCACCTGCGGCTGCTGCACGAAGCGGACCAGGTCGAAGGCACCGCCGGCCTTGGCCGCCCCGTAGGCGCCTCCGCCGCCCTCCATGGCGTTCCGCCGCCGCTCCTGCGCGGCACCGCCCCGGGAGGGCCGGTCCTGCGGTCCGGGGACGCCGGGGCGGGGCGGGCAGGCTGCTCCGGCGGGACAGGGGCTCCCCCGCCCGGGCGCAGAGCGCCGCGCCGGTCCCGCAGCGTATCTAGGTGTCCCGCTCCGTCCCTCCTGACGCCCCGGTGTAACGGGGGACGGCAGCGCCTAGGCCGCCAGTGAGCACAGCCGAGGGGAAGCGGGGCTTCTAGGGGGTTCCCGCCGCCCCCACCCGGTACCGGGAGGCGGCAAAAGGGACAGGAGGGACACGCTCGGCAGCCCCCGCACCCACGCGAGCCACGGCCCGGGCGACAGGCGGCGGGAGCGTCGGGGAGCGTTCCGGCGGTTCCCGGTACCGAGGCGAGCGGGGCCTGGCGGGAGCCCCGGGGCGGCCACCTGCTCCGAGCAGCCTTAGCCCGCCCCGGGGTGGAGGAGGCAGAGCAGGGCAGGAAGGGGACGGCACTGGGCGGGGAACACGGTGCGGGGCACAAGGGTCTTTGCACGACGTGTCCTCCTAGGGTCGCTCCGGGACTGGGGCTCGGAGGCTTCGTGCCCGAGCCGGAGGGTCCCGGGACGGCGGGCGGAACCTCTCGGCCGCGGTACCGCCCCATCCGCCCTCTCTTCCTTCCTGAGGCCGGGCTGGGCTGGATCCGGGGTTAGTCCCTGTGTGCCCCGCAGACTCCGCGCTCCCGGCTGCACCCGGCCTCGCACGCCGCGGCTCCGGCTCCGTGCCCGTCCCGCAGCGCCGGGGACCGCGGAAACCCGGGGCTGGGAGGGGCCGGGACCAGCGACGCTCACCACGGCAAGGCCCGGGTAGGAGGGACCCGCTCGGCCTCGCAGGATGTCCCAGCCGCCCTCCATCACCCTCCTCGTCCCCGAGGGCACCGAGAGCGATGGGTGAGTGTGACCTCCCCCCTGCCGTGCCCTGGGACCTCCATCCCAGGTACAATGGGCTACGACTTCGTGCCCTAAAAGCACCAGCTGTCCGTGCCACCATGTCCCTGTGTTCCTTCAGCCAGGAGCCCAGTCCGGACAACGAGAGAGCCCTGCACACCTCATTCCACCAGCTCATCCTGGAGCAGAGCAGCTTGATCGAGGCAGGTCTGGAGCTGGAGGTGCAGGAGAGGGCCAGAGGTAAAGCACTGCAGCCTAAGCCAGGGCAAGCTGGGGACAGTGTGTGTGCCCGGGGCTGTCCCTCTGCTTGGGCCAGCTGTGTCAAAATGCTGTGGTAAAAGCATTCGTGGGAGCCTGCTGATGCCTTGGCCAGTGCAGAGCAGGGCAGTCCAGGGAGATCAGATCTTGGGACACAGAAAGCATCCCTGGAGAAAGGGGTACTCTGGGCAGAGCACACACCGAGCCTCTGTGCTGGAGCAGAGCAGCAGGGACGTAGGGATGAGCCATGGCCTCTCTGCATCCTGCCTTCCTCCTCCCAGAGTCCCCAGCCTGCTTGGCTACTCCAGAAGCCTGTGCCATGGCCTGGCCAGAGCCCGGGCAAGGTGAGGAGCACCCCAGCTACTCCTCTCCCTCCCTGCAGATCTTGGCCAGCATGCCCAGCCGCACCATCGGTAGGTGCCACCCATGTTCCCACCCTTCCCCAGCTCTCAGAGCCCCTTGGAGCTCTGCTGCTCTGCTCTTCTGTGGCCACCCACCTTCTGCTCTGCTCTGCCCCACAGGACGCAACCTCGGGGCCATCATCTCCCAGTACTGCAACCGCACGGCGCGGCTGCGGCGGCGCAGCGGCCGCCCGCCCCTGCAGCAGCTCTGCCGCGCGGCACGGCCCAGCCTGCGCCACTACGACCTGGACACCGACCCCAGCAGGCCCACGCTGGAAGGTGAGCCTCCCCCAGACTATTAAAGGCAGTGCTGGCCACTGTCCCTACGCTGGGTTAGGGACAGGCAGGCCGTGGCTGGCCGTGTCCCACCGAGCCCCTTGTGCCCCAGAGAAGCGGCGCCTGCTGGTGAAGGAGCTGCTGAGCCTCTCACCCAGCCAGTGCAGCCACATGCTGCTCACCATGCCCCTCAGCCTGGCAGAGAAACGCATCCTCCGGTAAGACCCCTTCCATCATGCCAGCTGAGCAGGGCTCCCACAGCCGGAGCTGTCCCAGGACCTGTGGTAGCCTCTGACCCCCCTCTCTTCTGGGCAGGCGGCAGCTGAGCGGGCAGAGGGGCCCAGTGAGGCAGCGCGCCCATCACTGGGCCCCCTTCTCCCCCTGTGGTTGGTCCAAGGTCTTCGTCAGTCTCGTAAGTCAGAGGCGCAGGTCTGCACAGAGGCTGGGAGGGCTCCAGTGCAGGCTCCAGCCCCACTGCTCTCCCATTTTCCTGTCCCCAGGGCTGCCGAGGTCTCTGGTACAGGCTCCTCTCCCTGCTCCGCGCTGCGCAGCCCGGGCACTATGCCCTGAAGCAGATTGGTGGCCGCTTTGGCTCCAGTGTCCTGTCCTACTTCCTCTTCCTCAAGACACTCCTTATGTTGAACTTCTTTTCATTCTTCATCCTCTTGGCCTTCGTGGTGGTCGTGCAGGCCGTGTACCCCACTGCATCAGTCAGCCCCCAAGCCTTCACTGGCCTCGAGCTCCTCACAGGAGCGGTAAGCATGGCCCAGGCACCCCCAGGTCAGGGGCTGTGCCAAGCCTGGCGGGCAGCCCCACTTTCCCACTGTAATAATACCCCAGTTCTTGTCCTTGCACAGCCTGGGCCCCAGGACCACCGGTGCTGTGGGTGCACAAGGTGGTGCTGCCCCAGCCCAAGGCTGTGTGTACCTGAGGCTGGCACAGAGGTGCCAGGCTAAGAGGGAAGCTGTAAGCACTGCCAAGGTCACTGTGGGGCCATGGTGTGCTTTCCTGCAGGGCTACTTCACGCACTCGCTGCTGTACTACGGCTACTACAGCAATGTCACCCTGAACGACCCCTGCACCTCCAGTCCTGAGGGCAGCGTGTGCCCCCTCCCAGGCCCCCTGCTCCCGTACAACCTGCCACTGGCCTACCTCTTCAGTGTTGGGGTCTCCTTCCTTGTCACCTGCATCCTCCTGGTGTACAGGTGGGTCAGTGGCACCTGTGGCACTGCCAGCCTTCCCCTGCAGCCAGCCCCAGTCCCTGATGCCCTTCACCTCGCTGCAGTGTGTCCCGCTCTTTTCGGGAGAGCGTGGGAAGCTCCACAGGGGACTTGGCCATCAAGGTCTTCTGCGCCTGGGACTTCAAGGTGATCCAGAGGCGCTCGGTGAAGCTGCAGTGCGAGAACATCTGCACCCAGTTGAAGGTGGAGGAGCTGAGCAATGCAAAACACCCCAGACCCAGCCTTGCTGGTGCTTTGTCCCTCACCCCTCTGGGTCCTGGTGCTGCAGTGGGGCAAAGCCTTGCCTCAGACCCAAAGGGGATTTGGCAGCTCTGTGCTGCTCTCTTGCAGGAGCTGCTGGGGGAGCAGCGCTCCCGTTCCCACGCCCAGAGCCGCTGCCAGTGCCTGGGGCACTGCCTCGTGGTGCTGCTGGCCTGGCTGCTGGCCCTGGGCTCGGTGTTGGGCTGCGTGCTGGCTGTGCACTACTTCTCGGAGCACATGCACGTGGTGAGTGCTGCCTCCCACCCTGGGATCCCCTGCCCTGGGGTTGGAGGGACAGGGCTGGGGTACTGGGGAGAGAGGCAGGGACAGCCCCATTGCAGCTGTGCTCCTGGCCTGGGCATTTGCCGCTCTCCCAAGGACACCACACCTGGCTGCCAACAGCTGTGCCCTCAGCCCAGTACCTGCTCACCAGGTTCAGCAGGAGCAACGAGCACAGGGCAGTGGCAGATGGCAGCAAGAAGCCATTCTGCTGGTCCTGCCCTTTGTGGTGTCCCTCCTCAATGCCTTGATGCCCCACCTGTTCAACTTGCTGGCGATGTGGGAGAGGCAGGACTCCCCAGTGACACAGGTCTACGTAGCAATCATCAGGTGGGCTGGCTGGGGCTGTGGTGGTGGGAGTATTCTGCACCCATGGCAGGCAAGGAGGCTTTGGGGCCAGGCACCCCATGTGTGGGGCTCAGCCCCTCCATTCCCTGGGCTCAGGGACTTCTGGCTCTGCTCCTGCTCCCCAGGAACCTCATCCTGAAGATGGTGACTCTCAGCCTGCTGTGCTACCACTGGCTCAGCCGCAGCGGTATCTGCTCGACAGAGGAGGTCAGCACCACTGCCTCAGGGCCGTGGAGGGCTGGGCTGAGCATGGGGTTGTGCAAGGCGCTGGTGGCATCTTCCCCATTAGATATCAGGAAGAAATTCTTCCCTGTGAGGGTGGTGAGGCTTTGGCATAGGTTCCCAGAGAAGTGGTGGGTGCCCCATCCCAGGAGCTGTTAAAGGCCAGGTTGGACAGCACTCAGAGGAACCTGGTCTAGTGGAAGGGTGTCTCTGCCCATGGCGGGGTGGGGAAAGAGATGAGCTTTAGGGATCCTCCCAACCCAAACCAGTCTGTGATTCTATGCCACGCTTGATTGTCTCGCCAGTGCTGGGAGACGTGTGTGGGGCAGGACCTGTATCGCTTTGTGGTGATGGATTTCATATTCACCTTGCTGGATACGCTCTTCGGGGAGCTGATCTGGAGGTAACGTACCCCAGGACGTGTCCCCCCACCAGTGTGCTGTCCCTGCATGGTCCCAGCTCTCTGGTACACCCAGGCTCTGCTGCCATCAGAGGGGGAAGGGGGGGTGTGAAGTCCCCCCAGGCAGCATGGGAGCAGAGTTCATTTCCACCCAGGCTAATTCTGGAGAAGAGGCTGAAGATAAAGCGGAGGCCGGAGTTTGATATTGCCCGAAATGTGCTGGAGCTGATCTATGGGCAGACCCTGACCTGGTGAGATGTTTCTGCCTGGTGTGACTCCTTCCTCTGCTGGCAAATGCCTTGTAGTCCCCATGAGCCCTGTGGGTGCTGTAGCTGTGCCCACCACTGCATCTCCTGGGGCTCAAACCCAGGCAAGATTGTCTTCCCCCTGCTCCCAGGCTGGGCATTCTTTTCGCTCCGCTCCTGCCAGCTGTGCAGATGCTGAAGCTGCTGCTGTTGTTCTACATCAAAAAGGTGTGATTCCCCCCGCTCCGCAACTCCCCACAGGGTGAAGCTGCGGTGACACTGTGCCCTGCCACCATCAGTCTCTGCTGCAGTGGGGTGCCACCCGGAGCAGCCTGCTCCTTGTGGGACTGAGCGGGGCTTTCTGGGGACACCACGTCCCCAGGCTCACTCACTCCCGGTGGGCTGGAGGGAGGGGACAGCAGGGACTGCTCTCAGGAGTTGGCAGCCCACAGGACACTGCTCCCTATCCACAGACCAGCCTGATGCGGAACTGCCAGTCCCCCAGCAAGCCCTGGCAAGCATCACACATGAGCACTGTGTTCATCACTCTGCTGTGCTTCCCCTCCTTCCTGGGTGCAGCTGCCTTCCTCTCCTACACCATCTGGTCGTGAGTACCCACCAGGCCATGGCTCAGGGCACAGGACCCCTGGCTGTGTGGAGAAGGAGGGCTTGGCGAGACCATGGCCCCCGTCCCTGGCATCCCCCAGCTGCAGGCCATGAGGTGCTGCCCCAGGCAAGGGAGGTGCCTTCCTGCTGCTGGCCCGTGCTCACTTTCTCCAGCTGTTCCTGGTGCAGGATGAGGGATGAGGACTCTCTTGTCCAGTCCTGGGGATGCTGGGGACAGTGAGGCTGGGTCCCTGGAGGGCTGGACATCTGTCTGAGACAGGCAGTGCCCTGGTTTGGGGCCAGCAGTTGCTGGGCTGCCCATTGCTCTGAATGCCCTGCTGGTCTGTTTGCTCAGGGTGCAGCCATCAGAAACCTGCGGTCCCTTCCGGGGGCTGGAAACCATCTACGAGTCAGGGAAGAGGTGGGTGCTGGTGCTGGAGAAGTCCAATCCCAACATCACCTGGTTTGCCTGGGTCTACCAGCACCTGTTGGAGAACACATCCCTTCTATTCTTCATGTCTGTGGCCCTGATGTGAGTATGGACCCGAGCCCAAAGCTGAACCCCACGCCCTCACTTTGAGGGTCCTGCTGTCACAGCCCTGAGTGGGGCTGGGAGCCAAGGTGTCACTCCAGAGCCCTGTGCCCCATCCCAGTGCCAGGAGCACAGAGTCCCTCAGCTTCCTGCCTGGCTGCCACCATTCCACCCTGCTGTTGTTGCAGAGCTGTGATCTACTTCAACATCCAGGTGGTAAGAGGCCGCCAGAGGGTCATCTGCCTGCTCCAGGAGCAAATTGCCAACGTGAGCACTGCCCCTGCCCATCCCTGCTGCTTCACAGCCTGCTCCAGCCCCAGCACTGCCAGTGTGGGCTCTGGCCTCCTGGCCCTCTCAGGCACCCCAGTGCTGCTCACTGCTGTCTCTGACATTGCAGGAAGGGGAAGATAAGGTGTTTCTCATTCAGAAGCTTCACTCCGTTTATGAGCAGAGACACAGGCGTTCCTGAGCCCCAGGTGAGGCCAGCATGAAGGGCAGTGGGGAGGGGCTGCCAGGGCACCCAGAGCTCAGCCATGGGCACAGATGCTCCTCTGCCTGTCCCAAGGGATGCATGATCCTTGGTGTTACTGAGGCCCAGGGACAAGAAAGGGGATGGAGGCAGGTCTGGGATAAGGACCTGGGATCTTAGGACTCCCCAGTGACACAGGCCTATGTGTCAAGCTCCACAGGAAGGAATGGGATGGAATGCACTCTGCTTGCAGCTGGGATTGAATCTGTCCATCACAACACAGCACTGGAAGCTGAGGGACCATGGAGTGCTGGAAGATCCGCCTCTTGGCATGGCCAAGGACATGTCATTGGGAATGCTGCATCGCAGGGTGCAGGTGCTCCTGCTCCTGGAGCTGCTGGGATGCAGTGGGTACAGAACCCAGCCTGCTGCCACACCCCAGGGCACAGCTCCATGCAGGACTGCCTCACCTCACAGCCCTGCTCTGTGGGGGCTCACTACCTGCAGAGAACTGCCCTTCAGCTCTCCCTCCTGCCAGTGTGCCCTCGGCTGTTCTCAATCCTTTAGGGACCATGGAGCTTTGTCACAACCACCTTCACACTGCCTCAGGGCAGCAGGCACAGCCCAGCTCCAGCCCAGTGCCTGGCTCACCAGGAGAGCAGCTGGCTGATTGCAGTCCCACAAATAAGGTCACTGGGCCACCCGCAGCACCCACTGCACTGGCTGGTGGGATGGACTTGGAGGAATCACCGAGCTGCTGAGTGCTGGGCTGGGCAGGGAAGCTGGGCTCAATTAAAGCGCTGCTGCGCAGGAGTGCTCTGGCTGGTGTCTGGACCTGTTGGGCTGGAAGCAGGCAGGGAGGGTTGGTGTGTCAGGGCTGTTGGTGGTGACTCGGCAGCAGTGTCAGGGTGTGCTCAGGCTCCTTGGCACTGCCTGCTTTCCCACGGGACTGCCTGGGGCAGAGCCCAGTTCAGCCCACACTGCTGGAGGGAAGGCCACTGCCACTCCCCTTGCCACTCACCATCACAGTGCAATAGCTGCAGCCCCCAGCACCAGGAGCCACTCCCTGACATGTCATGCTGTTGGCAAGCCCTGGGATGGAGCTACCCCGGTGCCTCAGTGCTGACAGGCCCAGGGCAGGGTGTGCTGTGGCATGTGCCAGGCATGGGCAGCCACCAGTCCCCTGTGACTTGGCACCAGGGCTGCCAGCTGAGGCAGCTGCTTGCCCAGCTGGGCTGGGCCACCAGTGAGGGCACAGGGTGTTACCAGCACAGACAGACAGTGCTGATAGCGTGGGCACAGGGCAGGTTCTCTGTACAGCCCCAGCTCTTCCTGGCGTGCATTAGGAAAAGCATTGCTCACAGGTCAAGGGAGGTGATCCTGCCCCTCTACTCAGCCCTGCTGAGGCTGCAGCTGGAGTGCTGTGTCCAGTTCTGGGCTCCTCAGGACAAGAGGGACATGGAACTCCTGGAGCTTAGCTGTGCTTAGCTCAGCTCAGGTGCTGCTGCAGCCTCCAACCCCACTGCAGGAACCCCTCCTGTGCCTGGAGCTGCCAGCATGATCTGGCCTCTGTGGCTTCTGCTTATCTCTTCCCTAAAAGCCCAGGATTTCCCTCCAAGCACACGGCAGCCACCAGCCTGGAGAGTGTGGTGGGAGTTTTACTGTCAAGTCCCACAGGGATCCAGTCCATCAACAACCCAAGGCACTGCCTGGGCTCTGCTCCCAGTTCCAGGCAGGGCAGCTGCCTCTTCACCACCTCCTCCTGTGGCAGGATGGTCCTGGGCTGCGGGGCTGGGATCAGCAGGGGTCCTTGAGGGCGCTCCGAAGCCACTGCAGGACATCGGCCAGGCCGGTGCCATCGCGGGCGCTGGTCTCCAGCAGCGTGATGGGCTGCGTAGCACAGGACACGATGTCCTGCATGCGGAACAGCGACTTCATCTCCACCAGGGACATGTAGCAGGGCAGGTCACTGCAACGGGGACAGGGGAGCTCAGGCAGCAGCCAAGCACGACGGCTCCCTGCCCGGCGCAGGGGTCTCCTGCAGCCTGGGAGGTGCAGCAGAGCACAGCTGCTGCTCCCAGCCACCCCACCCTTCGGGTGACCCCCTCCTCACATCTTGTTGAAGAGCACCAGGACGGGCACAGAGGCGAGCGGCGCTGCAGAGAGGACTGAGAGCAGCTGCATGCAGGACGAGGAGACCTGGCTGGGGTTGGAGGCATCCACCACGAACTGCAGGGAAGAAGGGAAAGCAGGGTGCGGGTGTGCCGGCATCAACCCCGGGCCGGGCTGGGCCCGAGCAGGGCACGGAGGAGGGAAGTCCCACCACGGGGCGAACCCGGGCGGACCGAACGACTCGTGCCCCGCGAGCCCCTCTGGCCGCGCCCGTCCCTCGGGAGGGCGGCCCGGGACGGGCTCTCGGTGCTGCTCACCAGGAGAGCGCTGCACTCGCTGTAGTAGCTGGGCCAGATGGGGCCCATGCAGCCGCCCAGCTCCCGCACGGTCACCCTCCGCGGCAGCCGCAGGTCCGTCAGGTTGGTGCCCACCTGCGGGACGGGCACGGGCACCGGCAGCGCGGGCTGCGGCCGTGCCCCGCGCCCGCCCGGCCCCGCCGGGCCGCACCTACCGTGGGCAGCGTGGCCGGGGGCTCGCCTAACTCCGCGGGCTCCTCGGCGCTCAGCTGTGCCTCGCGTTAAGGACACGGCGGCTCCGGGAACGGGCCGGCGGCGCGGTGCGGTCCGCCCGGCCCCGGCCCCCGCCCCTCCCCGCCGGCCCTCCCCGGTGCCCCGTGCCCACGGATATGGCGCAGCCGCCGCACCAGCAGGCTCTTGCCGCCGCCCGCCGCCCCCAGCAGCAGGAAGGTGGGCGGGGAGCGGCCCGCGGCCATGGCGGAGCCGCCCCGCGGAAGCGGCGCCGCCCCGGCGGAAGGCGGAAGCGGAAGGGCCGCGGCGGGGCGGGGGACGGAGCGGGCCGCCCAGAGCACGGCGCGGCTGGGCCGGGTCGGGTGGCGGTGCCGCAGCCCGGTGCCGTCCCGGAGGAGCGGCAGCGGCGGGGCGGGGGCACCGAGCGCCCGGGATGTCTGAAGCGGGAGGGTTGGTGCTTCCCGGGTGCAGTCCGGGGTTCTTCCCCGCGCCCCGGCAGCGCCACGCCCGGGGCGCTCCCGGGCCCGCCGGCGGCGGAGCGGAGCCGCGGGCAGCAGCGCGGCTCACGGCCGCACCGTGGCTTTGCTCATTGCAGATAAGGCCACGAGCCAGCTCCTGCTGGAGACGGACTGGGAATCCATCCTGCAGATCTGCGACATGATCCGTCAGGGAGACACGCAGTGAGTGCTGCCGGGGCTTTGGACGTGCTGTGGGCACAGCTCTGCTGTCTGTGCAGGGAAGGAAAGACCCTTGGAGGGTCTCGGACCTGTAATCTCGTTATACCCTTCCATAAGAGCATCAGAGGAGCTGTACAGCACACCCTGATGTGCTGGTGTGCATCCCAGAGCCTGCAGATTACCCCTGCCCTGAAATCCCTAGGGAAACTCAAGCTTGAGTGTGCTTATTCCCTCCCAGTTTCACTCAGTGAATCATGTACCCCTGAGCTAGCTGTGTCCTTCGTGCCAGGGTAGGGATTGGTGGGCTGTCAGCAGCAGGTGGGATCTCCCCTCAGATTCTTGGTCCCCTGAGAGTATGTCCCCTCTTCCCCTGTCCAGAGCGAAGTACGCTGTCAACGCCATCAAGAAGAAGGTGAATGACAAGAATCCCCACGTGGCCCTGTACGCGCTGGAGGTAACGGCACCTGGCTGGGAGCTTCCCACTACCTGCCTTCAGGCTGAACAGCTCCCTGCAGCCCAGCAGGGAGCCAGCCTCTCCCTGACTCTGGCACTGAGGTTTTGGGGTGATCAGGCCAGGGCCTTCATGCTTTAGTTCCATCTTGGCTTTGGAACAGGCGAAGCTGAGACTTGGGCTGCCCTCCCCGGGGTTGGTTTCCACAGAGGAGAAGGCCCCCAGCCCCCCAGGGAGGTGAAGGACAGCTGGCTCCCAGTGCAGGGAGTGGATTGGCATGACCCCAACACACCCCTCTGCTTAAGTACTGCCCCGTGTTCAGCCTGCAATCTGTGCTGGGACCCCCACAAGTTGCAGGGGAGGCAGGAAGCTGTGGGCTGATGTGGTCTTGGCCCTTGCAGGTCATGGAGTCAGTGGTTAAAAACTGTGGCCAAACAGTCCATGATGAGGTGGCCAATAAACAGACCATGGAGGAGCTGAAGGAAATACTCAAGGTAAATAGATTTATTGTACTGACATTTTTTTTCCTGTGGAAAAGCAGGAGCAGCAGGAACAAACATATGTGTCCTCTCTTTTGTTCTCTTTGGATAAGGAGCAGAAGGGAAATTGGAAATGCACTTCAGAAAAGAGCAAATTATTGTGTGGTGTGAAAGGGAGAGTGTAGGCAGTGAAGGAGGTTTTCTGGGAAGAGGAGATGTGGTGGGGGCAGCGGTTTGTCTGTGCTGTGAAATGGCAGGAATTGCTGAGGGGGCCCCAGCCATTCCATGGTAAATGCTCCTGGATGCAGCACTTGGGTTGGGACAGTAAAGAAAAACAGGTGATGGCCTGGCACCTGTACCAAGGACCTGGGCACTGTTCCTCTCATGGAACAGTGTGAGGCACATAGGCAGGTAAAGCAACAAAGGAAAAACCAGCTGGAGCTGCCTCTGTGTCACGGCTGTGTCATTGGCCATGAGTTGTTCAGGAGCTCTGCAGGATATGACCATGGCTGCTGGCACTGATGAGTTGTTGCAACAAGCTATCACCAGTCTGATGCTTGCTGGAGCTTCATGTGTCCTTGGACTGGAGAATTCCATTAGTGAAGTGGAAATGAGAACTCCCGTCTCCAGCTCCCAGCTCAGAGCAGCAATGCCCAGACATGAGCTCGTTAGCATCATACTTCTGTCTTCCACCAGAAATAAACAAACAAACAGGTGACCCAGATCCTTGGAGGATGAGCTGTGTGAGTCCTGTCACCTCGCACACCAAGCAGGGTGTCTCTCCTGTCACCTTCCTGTTAGGGCTGACTCAGTCTCCCTGCAGGATCTCCTCCTGAGGCAGGAACACTGCCATAGCATGACAGCCAGCTGTGGTAGCACAGCTGCTCCAAGAGCTGAGGAGGTCAAATCAGATCCAGGGATTTTGTGTTTCTCTCAGTCTTTGCCTGCCTCAGGACTTTCACAACTGCCCCATTCTCCTCCCACACTTGGAACTTTTCTGCTTGTGAACACCCAATGCTGGTAAAACAGTCCAAGTTCTGATGAGGTCCAGGGCTGTGACATGTATGGAATACCAAATGTTCTAGAAGTTGGAGCTCCAGGAATTGTCAGTAA